AGTGATGAGCAGCTATCCCCTTCTGCTTTACCCATGTAGTCCATGGGTGTGTACTGTCCAGGATGGGCAAACTTATGAAGCAAACCTATCATGAGGATAAACCTACAAGCGATCTTGTGGAACACCCCAACTCTGTAGTGTGCATTGCATGGCCATGGAATTATAATGGTTAAGTCGTCATGGCCTTACAGTTTGGCATTTAATAGTTTAAGTATACCTGGACAGGCATCACTCACCACAGAATGGGATCCATAAACAAAAATAGAGGTATATATACCAAAAGGTAACTTACTCAGTCACAGTCTCACAAAAGAGTGAAGGATGGCAACAGGTGGCTGCTGGTACCCCGACAAGGAAGAAACAGCTACCCAAAGTAAAGAATGGGAGATGAACGTATGAGGAGCAGTCCCAGTGCTCGACAGGTGAAGTACCTCCAACGGATGACAGTTTGGATATGCAGAGAAAAAGGGAAGGTGCATGATCTGAGTGAAGACATGAAAAATCGATGATGGGAAGAAGTATACAAGAAATAAAAGGCCAATCGATTCACAAACCAAACCCAATGAGTCAGGGAGGAAGGAAAAAAATTATAGACAAAGCAGTGGAATAAACAAAAGAAGTTGTGTGAGATTGATTGAATGGAAAAAACCTTGAAATGTATTGGGTTGACAAGGTTATCTGGAATGAATCGAGAAGAAATGTGGAAGATGGTAAGAAATGGAAAAGTCAAAAGGAATATAACACATGAGCCACGAAATAGAGGTAAATAAAAATTATCCAGGACAAAGAAAACAATCGAGCTAAAACAGCAGAGAAACCCAGATTTGTGCTGGCCAGGAAATCAATTAGAAAGACCTGAACTGGAGTGACATGGATGAACAAACATTTTGAGGTACAAAACAGATGGAAGGAGAAAGACTAATGTGAGAAACTGGATGTAATCCTGTTTTAACATATTGAACTGAGAAGAAATGTGGAAGATGGTAAGAAATGGAAAACTCAAAAGGAATATAACACATGAGCCATGAAATGGAGGGAAATAAAAATGATCTAGGACAAAGGAATCAATTGAGCCAAAATAGCAGAGAAACCCAGATTTGTGCTGGCCTGGAAATCAATTAAAAAAACCTGAACTGGAGTGACATGGACGAACAAACATTTTGGGGTAAAAAACTGATGGAAGGAAAACGACTAACGTGAGAAACTGGATGTAATCATGTTTGAACATATTGACAGCCAGAGCAAGAGGATGATGAACTAGAAGCCAAAAACAAAAGTGGTAATTATTTGGGAATTGATAAAAAACTTCATGTGGAGGAGTACCCCACAAAGAATATGACAGAACTGAAATGGCAATGATGACAAAAACCTGGAATACGACCCTCCAGGATATGCACATGAAGTGTGTGGATTCAAAATGGAAAATCCACTGTCTATCACAGATGGAACATGAAAGAACATCCCCTTGACAAGTGATAGAAGCCACCACCATCAAATAGTCGAAATGAAACATGATTAGTCAAATCTGAACAAAATGAAAAGAGTGAACGAAAGCACATTGGACTGGATGAAGAGCCAGGGAGTGAAGGGAATAAGACCATTTGCCTGGAGACCATAGTCCTAATGCCTCCTACGGATCGAACCATATTCCTAACCAATGGAGACAAGCATCAGAACGAGAAACAATCCAGAAGAGGGGAAGGAATCAGGAAATCCAACATCGTAGAGGGATATGAACATCTATCAACTCATACAGAAGAAGAGGGAAGGAAGAAAATTAAGATGAACATCAATGGATGGTCTCGATAGAGAGGTGTTTAAAAACACCCACCCTAAAGAGACGAGAATGTGAGGTATGGAACAAGAAAAACACATCAAATTGGAAAATCCAATAACCTGAGCCAACCGTGGAAGGAGTATATAAGTATGTGACGACTACCCCCATTTGGAAGTACCTAACCAAGGCTATACATCCAACGAATAGTATAAGTAAAATCACCCCCAAAAAGTGGAAGTTGGGTAAAATGCAGACTGCCCCACAAAAAACATATGGTACCAGACAAGTCCAAGGGGCAAAACACGAAACTGTGACCGAATCATGTGGTGAAACCTAAAATAGCATCCAGAAAAATGGAAAATATGAATGTGCACATGCAGAAATAGCAAACCCAAGTGTGATCAAAGATTACATAGGAAAATGGGCAAGACCCATGAAGTGATTGAGGTGAGACAGATTGATCCAGAACCCCAAACAGCATTGAGCATACAAGATGAATGGAGAACACCCGTAGGTAAGACAGGTAAAGGATAGTAAATTGCCTGACATGTAAAAGAATAAAGATGGCAATACCTCGAAATGAAACAAAAAAAATTAAATATAGCATGGGAGATACCTCATGTGACACTAAGTGTACAGGAGGAGACTCCCAAAAAATGGACTCGTGGAGAAAAATATCTGACCATAAGTCCTTATCAGCAATGGGAAACAAATAGCAGAGTCACACCCAAGAAGTTCCCAAAAAGAAAGAAGCCATGTGTGGAGGAAAAGAGCAGAAGATTGCAAACCCCCCAACATGGAGGGAAGGAGGAGGTATTCCACGAAAATCCCTAAATATAGATGGAACACCTAAGAAAGGAAATGGAAAGTAAACATTACCGGTAGGAGAGTAGATAGGGTAATACGAAGCTGAAAAAGTAGGTTGGGGAGAAAATGGAAAGGATTAACAGAGAGATCCAAAGGACATAAAACTAAGAAGAAAACCTGCCTGATGGTAAGCAAAGGCGAAAAGAATTAAAGCTGTATATGCCGAGGTTTGCAAGTACCCAATCTCAAAAGAGATAAAATGATAAAAAAAAACAATGTCAAGAAAAGGTAATATAAAGTGAAACGTGTCAAAAACAAAACAAAAACTGAGATAGGCTGAGCAGACTCTGCAGTAGAGGCCTGGAATTAAATCTATGATAAGGTGGAGGAAAACTGAAAATCTGGGCAGTCTTGAATGGGTTCAGCCATTATACGAAAAGACAAATAATACTGGGAGCAGGTAGGGTGGACCCCAGCTTACAGGGGCCCACACAAACGAAATTAAGGGTAAGATGTATAAAGTATATAAGATGTATAAAGTATAAATTAAATTAAATGAATGGTAAGAAATTAACAAACACTTGTTAAACCTAATCGAACAGTGTAGGGCAAAGGATATCACTAACAATAAGACACGATGTGTGGAAGAAAAACGATAGAGTTAAACTAATGATTGATAACCTAGTCAGATGAATTACAGGTAATCCTAAAATAACAAAAACTCCTAGTATCAGTGGTATAGGAGAAAGGATACAACTAAGCCTAATTTCTAGCCTGAACTGGACTACGAGTATCGATTAAACTAACAAAACTTATATTATAAAACTCAAATAACTACAGATAATAATATTAAAAGTAATCAAAAACCATAACAATATAACGTTTTATCTTTCCAAAGTTGGCAGACTGTATGTCAAAATGTGTGGGGCCCCAAAATTTGAGGTGAGGCCCAATGAACATCATCTCCTTGGAAGATCAATCTCCCAATGAAGTAAAACAGAAAATCTTCCCGCAAAGTACCATGATATGAAATCAATGTAAATGTGCGAATAGAACATATAACCTTTGAAATGGTAATGTACAATTCAAGATGCAAAATTAATAACCAAACACAACTGTGTTGGCAGAAACAAAGAAAAAGTTTTTGTAATCAAGTAATATAACAAGTTCCATAACCAGGTATAAATATAAAATAATTCCACTTCATAATAACTCAACAAATTACAAATATCACTGTTGTATAATAAAGAATAAACTTGTTGAGAGGAATTAATACAAAGATACAGAAAAAAAATAAAATAAAACACGTGAAGAGAGCATAAGCACTGCCAAATGAGAAGTGACAGTTTGGTAGAATTGATAAGAGGGGATCACATGCATCAAGAGGGTATGTCACACTCTTATTGGTAAAGGGTTGATGCATGATGGCTTACATGAGAGACTCATTGGAATCAGTCAATTCCAATGGAGGCTTGTGGCATGTATAAAAAAAAAATATTTGCATATATAGGGCAGCACTGAACGAGGTTTGGTTTGTTTTGAATTTTGTGCAAAGCTACACGAGGGCTATCTGCACTAGCCATCCCTAATTTAGCAGCAAAAAACCAGAGGGAAGGCAGCTAGTCATCACCACCCACCACCAACTCTTAGGCTACTCTTTTACAAACTGATGAAAGGGTGAGCATGTTTTGGTAGGATGGGGATTAGAACCCGTGATCCTCAGATTGCAAGTCAAGCGCCCTAACTACCTGGCCATGCGCACTGAATGAGAATAGCTATTTATGTGAGAGGAGGTAATGTACTGTATCGGAAACACTGAAACTTTAACATTCTTGCAGATGTGAAATCTCAAGTGGCTGTATCTAATATACCAATCTCAGCAACAACATGGAAGGTTTATAGTGACCAAAAGCTTATAAGACAAATAATTTCTTGGCATTAGAAAATTATTTCATCATCATTACAAAAGCACAGAAGTATAAAGAAAAATTAATGCACACACTCAAACATTAGTATCTATTGATATCTTAAACATCAAGATAATATACATTTGATCAGGCCAGCAGTGAAAACAATGTAACTTATTGATAAGCCTACAAAAAGAAAGTAAAATATTTTGTTGTTCTTGTTTTCTAAGTGCAAAGCTACAGAAGGTACTATTTGTACTCTGTCCACTGCAGGGAATTAAACTTCATGTTTTGGCGTTATAAGTCCATAAACTTACCAGTGACTCATCGGAGGGAAAGGCAAAAAATAAAAGATGTTAGAAACATAATATAAATAAACTTGCTTACTAGCTGTAGATATGATATTAACAATTATAAACATACAAAGAACTTGAAGACTCAGCAAATTTTAATTCTCTTTACAACTAAAAAACATGATTTTATGCTACATATTTTTTCTTAATATTCACTTAGTCATTCACTAATAGCTTTCAAGTGAGAGGTTTATTTTAAAAAAGCTTTATAGATAGATCTATATTTTATAAAAGAAAGGCACAATGATCATTAACAACCATAAGACAGGTAAAAGGTATTGTATTTTTACATATCCCTGGATTTAATTGTGTATTGTTCAGTATTAAAGTTACAACAATAAGATTTTATTTTATTAGGTCTGTTATTCTACAAGAGAAAATCTTTGATTATTCTAAGGTTAAATTCAATATTGGTAGAAAATATATATATATATTTTTTAAATTCTACAATATATTTACTACATTTGAAACAAAAAAGATCCAGCATGTAATGAAATTTACTAATTTTTATTAGACCAATTTAAGACCTCAAACTAATTAAATAGGTGTTTTACAAGTAGTGCTAGTATACCGTCAAACATTTTGTTGAACATCCATCTTATCCCTCATACAGTACACAAATTTTTAATATGAAATAATACTTACCTTTAGATCATCAAATTTCAGTACAAAATCTAAAATCTCAGCAAATTGCTTGACTAATGCTTGCTGGGACTTAAGATGTTGAGAAGGAGACATAGATCCTGAACAAAGCTCCCATAAAACCTTCGGCACAGCTTCTCCTGAAAGAGAACTATTTAATTAACTGTTTTTCTTCAGTATTATTATATAAGTTAGTTTGACAAGTGAACATGTGACATGTTATCATGTTTTTTATGGTGATACTTTTGCATTTGTTCAAGATGTACCTCATCATTTGATCAAGGGGAAAAAACTGAGTACTTAATCTCATAGAACTTTAGAAATTTTCATATGCATTGCTGTGACTGTTAGTGGTCTTGTAACACTTCCAAACTAGGAGCTGTAACTGTTAGTGGTCTTGTAACACTTTGAAACAAGGAGCTATGACTGTTACTGGTCTTGTAACACATCCAAACAAGGAGCTATGACTGTTACTGGTCTTGTAACACTCCCAAACTAGGAGCTGTGACTGTTAGTGGTCATGTAACACTTCCAAACTAGGAGCTGTGACTGTTAGTGGTCGTGTAACACTTCCAAACTAGGAGATATGACTGTGAGTGGTCTTGTAACACTAAAAACTAGGAGCTGTGACTGTTACTAGTCTTGTAACACTCCCAAACTTGTAGATGGGACTGTTAGTGGTCTTGAAACACTTCCAACTAGGAGCTGTGACTGTTAGTAGTCTTGTAACACTTCCAAACTAGGAGCTGTGACTGTTAGTGGTCTTGTACCACTTCCAAACTAGGAGCTGTAACTGTTAGTGGTCTTGTAACACTTCCAAACTTGTAGCTGTGACTGTTAGTAGTCTAGTAACACTTCCAAACTTGTAGCTGTAACTCTTAGCGGTCTTGTAACACTCCCAAACTTGTAGCTGTGACTGTTAATGGTCTTGTGACACTCCCAAACTTGTAGCTGTGACTGTTA